TTAAACTAAAGGAGTCCAGATTAACCTAACAGAGACCAGATTAACCTAACAGAGACCAGATTAACCTAACAGAGACCAGGTTAAACTAACAGCGTCTGGACTAACCCAATAAATTCCAGATTAGAGTGAAGATTGGAGGTGGTGATATAATATGTAACATTTTGTTGTCAGAATACACTGAAGTGTAGTGTGAATCTTACAGAGCACACTCAGCTTGTTCACACTGATATAAATTGAATCTATGCAAACACTGACACAAGACATGAACAATTAGGGATTAACAGCACTCAACCCAGAACATTATTCTGACTGTAATCTGGTAACGTTCTGAGTATAATCTGGTGCAGGACTATGACCTGGTAATACTATCAGCAGTGCAGAGCTTGCAGACAGGACTTGGGGCACAAAGACTAAATAATCTGTACATCCGGCCCGCTGCTAATCCAGTCGTCTCAGTGGAAGACGGTCTGTCTCCAGCGTTTGTCGGGCGTGAACGGCCACAGACAGTCGATAATGGCGGAGGTGAAAGGTCGCGGTTCCACGCTCAGGTTCAGCAGCTCCAGACGACAACAGTTTAACTGACTGTTGATGGGACGAAGAGCCGACGCCGCCGGCTGCTCGGTCAGCTGCAAGAACACAGACAGGGTCGGGACCACAGGTGATACCGTTTGTTTATAATGAGTGCAAAGTCCTGCTGATTATGAAAAGATTCAAAACGAGCCGCGCACCATGAAGCAGCTAACCTCAGGTTAACTCTCGCTTTCTGGACTACAAAGGTGGATCACTCTTACTGGGGTAAATCGCCATGGTAACCTATGCTATGAGCCAAACCTGCTCTTAAGATTAGAGATTATCAGGTATGACGTGAACACCTATAGACCAATCAGATCCTCAGAAAACAGCATCGCCATTCCTGAAGCCCCTCAGAGCTCTGTGGGGAAAGGGGCGGGGTCTGTGTTTCCCCGATGAGCAGTAATGACAATAATAATAATAATAACCATAATAATATTAATAAAACTTTATCAGCTTTATTGCTCTATAAGCATCAGTGACACACCTGCGCTGTACCTGCTGACCTCAGATCAGATTCGTGGACCGAGCCGATGTCTGAATCCTGTCTGTAAATGTGATCTTTACTAACAGCTGAGAGAATAAACTGAAATGGTCAGGAGGTCAGAGTGTAAACTTTTCTCTGATTGGCCACTTTCAGGACGATGTCCTGGAAACCATGAAGGAAGTGCAGCTGCCGCTCCAGCAGCTGAGACTGAACCATGATGTGTTCACGTGCTGATGCGCCGCTGCCGTCTGTCGCTCTGCTGCAAACACTCAGCAGGTGACACTCACCTCAGGTGCTTTCAACCCCGCCTCCTTTCTTTGTGGGTGCAATTTAAGCAAGTTAAGCTGATTGATAATCAGCCAATCGGCATCACGTCGGGGTGAACCCAGACAACAGATCGACACCTCAGGTGTGCAGGGCCTCAGGTCATAACTTTACATCCTTACACAGGCAGGCTGGTTAAACTGGCTTTACTTCATCTCCATTTAAGGCAGCTGACCAATCAGAGCCCTGGCTGCTGTTCGTGGTCAGCTGGTTGTTGGCTGCTACGACCTCGAGCACATTAAACTCTGGTGACAAGCTGCAGAGCTGTGGTTGGGCTAAAACATACTGAGCGACAGACAAACACGTCACTGCTTTACAGCCTGAGCTGTGCTCAGTGTGCCACTTACAGGTATGAGGCGGCTCAGGTGTGGGACCACTTACAGGTATGAGGCGGCTCAGGTGTGGGACCACTTACAGGTATGAGGCGGCTCAGGTGTGGGACCACTTACAGGTATGAGGCGGCTCAGGTGTGGGACCACTTACAGGTATGAGGCGGCTCAGGTGTGGGACCACTTACAGGTATGAGGCGGCTCAGGTGTGGGACCACTTACAGGTATGAGGCGGCTCAGGTGTGGGACCACTTACAGGTATGAGGTGGCCGGAC